TTGTGGGAAACCACTTGGACCCACAAATTATGCTTATCCTTTAGAATTTTCCAACCTAGCTTTGATAGGCAAGCCTCATTAACCCAATGAAGGTTTTTAAGTTCCATACCACCCCATCTCTTGGGGAGGCAAATTTTCCCTAACTCTTTAAATGAATGGGTTTTTTATCATTGCATTTTGACCATAGAACATTCCTTTGACTCTTGTGGCATAGAAAATTCACCTAACTCATTATTTGGAATTTTAAATGAGCTCATGATAAATTGTGGCATAGAACTAATAGTAGAGTTAAGTAGAGTGGCTCTGCCAGCAAAAGAGGCTGAAAAATACTACAGCGCTCCATATTTGGTCTCAAGTTTTTCAAGAAGAATTTCAGAGACCATTTTTGCTAATTTGAGGTGTGGTTATATAGTTCATTGGTTGACGGAAATGGTTGGATATTCTTGCTTTCAATACTAATGCATTCATTTTTTATTAATTATTGACTAAAACTAGTTTTGACTCAAACCARCATAGTTCACCCAAATCGATATAAATCTAAATTCAGCCAAATGGATCAATTTGGTTCAATTTGATTTTAGTGCAAATCAACCCAAACAGCCCAGGAATCTAGACCAACCCGATTTGGGCCGGCCAGATCCAACTCTGGATTAGATCATTCATGCATCCCAACCCAACCCAATTTGGACTTGCTTGGGTTGGACCAACTTGATTTGAGTTTGGATTGCATGGTCGACCCATCTTGATTTGTTTTGGGTCGGGTGACCTGATCCCAAATCTGAACCCATGTCAGCCTCGTCTAGGCCGACCCTACCGAAACTGACCCATTGGTCTGACCCAGATCCAGACAGTTAAGGCCTGATATGAGCATGTGCAGATCAGCCAGGTCAGTTTGACCCAGTCTGGACCGACCCAACTGAACATATCCTATTCGTGTCGGCCGGTCTGATCCCGGATCCAAGCGGTTYAGACCCTAGCCGACCCAAACCAGAACAAATTGGGTCAACCCAATTTGAACCAAGTAGATTGAAGTTGACCTAGTTCGGGTCAACCAGTCTGGCCCAGTTCTAGTTTGTTTGGGCTCAATCTGGACATATTTGTATTGATTTGGATCCAAACGGTTGGTATCGACCTGGGTCTATTGAACCTGGTACAGTCTTGAGTCCAACCCGATTTGGGCTGGTCTAACCCGAACCACCACAATCCAGGTTTGGATGGTTCAAATTGGTTACTAAGTGGTTCGACCAAACCCAAAACTCGAACATAATCAAATGGCTCCATGTGCTTAATTGCTTTTTGTTCTTCTTGTAAAAATAATTTACATGTAATGTGGTTTGAACCTTCACCAACTTGTTTAAAGAATAACCGCTATTACCATCAAGCCATGACCGACTTATTTGTTATAAGGGACTTGGTTTTTTCTTTTAAGTACGTAAACTAAATTGTTATAAGATTAATGGGTTGGGCGGGTTGGATTGGGTTAAAGTGGTTTTGAATTGAACCCAACCCAATTAACTTTATCTAACTAGGTTATTAATGGGTTGATGCGTCAAGTGGATGGAGTTGAAGTTCATCCCAAACTAAATCCAATCCAACCTGTCCAATTGCCACCGCTATTAATTAGTAATAAAGGTAACGTATATATATTTTTTTGGATTGATAATTGGCTTGGTGGTGGACCTATTATTAAGAAAATTCAATTTCAAAACATTGTTGATTTTAAGCTTAATGAAGTTCAAAACAGTGATGATGCTTGGCATTTTGCTATCTCAATGTGAATGATGAAATTAAGAACTAGCTGCAAGTTGTCAAACAAATAATTATGATATTCTAGTGTTGAAAGGAAATACAAATGCCTCATCTTTTTCCTATTTCTTTAGCCTGGGACATCAACGTCATTAGGAGGAAAGCTGATAATGTCATGTCCTTTTGTTTTATCTGAAAATCAGGTCTACCTTCAAAAATCTTAATTTTCATGTGGAGATTTCTCTACAATCCAATGCGGCGGATGAGACTATTAAAAAGAAGACTCTCTAACTTTGATATTTAGATGGTCTAAGTGGCTATGAAACTTTTGAAACCTGTTTGGCAGCTGAATTCTCAATCACTTCCAAATGTTAGAGCTACTTCAGTAGGGTACCCTTTGAAAGCTTTTGCTTGGAGGAAAGTTAAATGGGTGAAACCGGCTTCATTGTGGAACACTTTTGATGTATTAAATAAATATAAAACAAAATTAATGGGGATTAAAAATTAATATAGTGAAATAAAATAAAGTTTAATGGGCATATATATATATATATATATATATATATATATATATATCAACGTTCACGATA